GCAGAGGAAGGAAGTGTAAGCAATGGGAGGACAGGATTGGTGTAAATTACAAATTGGTTGTTATTAATGCAGTTATCTTTGCAAAGCACAATAACAGTGTCTTTAAAATGGTCAGCACAAGGAAAGCCAAAGCAAGAAAACACATAAATGGGCGTGTCAGGCAGAACTTGGTATCTACCAACAATTAGTGCCAATAATATAAAAAAGTCCTTTATAGATAACACAACAAATATCATTTTAAACAAATATCAATCTTTCTGGTCAAAATGTTGGTTGGGTTAAATAAAAGAAACTTTTGAAATAGTAAACACAAATAAATGTAATGAATTTGAAATGTTACGCAATTCATATCTCATCTAAAACATATTTGTTGTATGTTAGTTTGTAACAGTTGTGTACGGGGGCACGGTTAGCCGAATCGCCTAATGCGCTGTATTCGCTATGCAACGTTGTGTCCCCTGGGCACGACAGAAACCTATGAGAATGTGTTCGAATCCTCGCCGTAATATAACTGGAATTCTATTCAAAGCGGCAGATCGGGAACTCCGTCGCCGTTCTAATTGTAGCACGCTATCCTTGTCGATATCATATGCAAAAACTTGATCATCAAGAATCAGTTTTTCAAAGCGAAGAAGAGCTCTACTATTTTCTTCCATGGCTTTTAGGGAATCATAAGTTTAAGGTTTTTCCGCTTTTCTCTGACCAATCTTGACAAATCATCCGTGATCCACACATTTAAAACTCTTAAGTTTCTTTCCCGCTTCGAAAATCCGTTTCCTATCATGATCGTCGTCCGGTATCTTTGCTATGATCGCAAATCCATACAATAAATTAATATTCATTCATAAATATATTGATGGTGTGGGGAATTGTGGGGGTAGTGAATTGTGGGAAAATGAATGTGTGGGGAGGTGTCCAACCTCTGAGACATTCTGAATGACAAGGCATTGAATTTAAAAAAACATATTGGTTTGTTAGCTCGTTTCATGGACTAGCAAATGGGTAATAACATAATGAAATGATAAAATCTTTTCCGGGGGTCGTACCAACGTTTATTTTCATAAAGAAAGGACGAGGGTATTTCTTCGACATAAATAATTCAACGAAGACGAAGAGCCAATGCGCAAATACAACCAACTACACCTGCATCGAAATGAAACAGGCGGTTGGTGGTGACTACAAAACTGCACATGGTGAACAAGTTCATGTTGATAGGTGGTTTCAGGTACATGTATTTGGGGGAAATTGTTCGTGGGAAATAAAACACGGTTCGAACAATACAATGACGGTAAAGTGGTGATGGAACTGAATTGAAATAGAGGTCTTGAATATTAATGAAAATCGACATAAACTGTTCACGAGTGAACCATGTTTTCTAAATGTTAGTCTGTACCGCCGATTATTCCGTTTTGTACTGCTTTCAAGTTAAAGTGTGATGAGCTACTATCGTTTGAATGGATCTAAATGTTACCGCGTTGAAAGGTGTTGACATCTGTTACAAAGGTATTTACTGTTATCTTCACACGCTGGACTTTTTGTAAAAAATATTCACATAGTTTAATGTTGAAATGTTGTATATCACTTTTATAAGAAGCAGATTCTCCAGTACAAATAATTAAGCATTAAGAAGCCTGAGACAGAGTTATGATGTTCAATGCGCATTCTCAAGGCTTGTGAACTTAACATCAGTGGTAATTGCACTGTACCTCTATTATGTTCAATCTTACCCGAATGTAGTAAGACATTTTACACATCAATGGTCACATCCAAATTAATAAGCCAATCGTTGAGTAAATAATTACACCAGAAAAGAGAAAGCGCCACTGATTGCTACATATACCAGACGCCGTCGTCCGAACACACACACTGAAGGCAGGGACTTACTTACTTACTTACTTACTTACTTACTTACTTACTTACTGTTGTGGATTTTACGTTCGCTTTCCGCCATTATACGTATTTCGCAGGTACAGAGAGCAAACACTCTCATTCAGGGTCTTTTATCGTACATAATTTTTCAAATTTATCAGCTGAGACTTTAAAATCAGGGTTTGAAGTCTGTAATTCCTCATAAATTTAGATTTATCTGAGGAGTTACTTGGACAACGTATATAGACTTTTCTAAGAGTCAATCATTCCGACACCTTCCGTGTCAGTGAATATGTTCAACAATATAGTAAAATCATACCTATGGCTACATACTGATAGTCCTCTAAGAAGAGCCAGTATCTTGATTCTATGTGTTTTCTTTGAGATGTGCATATGAGGTTTCTAACTGACCTTCTGACTGACTGTGATGTCCTGACCAGTGTCAACAAATAAAATAGGATTATTCTTTAAAAAAAAATATCATCCTCTACTATGATATAAATCTCCAAGATAAGGGCTTTCAAATCATATTTCCAACTCAGGATGGTTTCAGAGTATCTTACCAAAAAAGACAAATATTCGAAATAAACGTATCATGCCAGGTCCCTACTGGCAAACATCAACTCGAGGTGTCATTAGAGTTAGTCCTGGAGATACAGATGATGACCTCGCACTTTTTACCGAAGAGGCAATAACCAACCCCAAATAATCAGTACTCGGAGCATAACTACAACTGGGAAAGGTCAAAACCACCCTACATCTAATGTAATTAGCAATTACCAAATAACAGAACATTTGTTTCCCAAAGAACCCCAGAAATAATCTCTTTTGGTGACCATAATAAACGAGAGGTCAAACCTTATATCAAACCAGTCAAACAATGTACGAAATGCCTCAAGCACCACCACACAACATCCCAATGCAACTTATGTGTGAATAAAATATCTTAATGCAAAACATGCGCATAACCAAATTGCTCAGGCCCATGCGCCACGTGGTGCATACACTGCAAAACTATAAATCCCACCTCATTATGAAATCATTGCCTCCCAGCCACACCCTCAGGCCAACAAACACATAAACATCGCAGGCCAACAAACACATAAACATCGACACAGCAAAACTACAAACAAGAAAACCTGCACCACCCACATCAAAACCACTCCTCCCCAACCAACAAACAAACAACAAACAACAAACCACTACCAAAACTCAAACAACATCTTAAACAAATAAACTCTGTTTGGGACCTACCAACCGAAAAAGGACCCATCATCAACGCACCCAACCCACCAACATCCAGTAGATATCTCACGGCAGAGTTCTCCATACAAAAATATGCCACAACAGCAACTCTCGCAGGCAAAACAAGCATACTCAAACCTAACACCCATACCTCCACAGGCAACTGGTCACTGGTCGCGAAATAAAATCCAAATCCAGAAAAAACTTAGGTCCTCATGTCATATGCGTCCAGGAGACCCATTTCTCCCCCAAATCAAAATTCACTCTTCCCAATTATAACTATGTAGGGCAGACAGAGTCAAATCTCGCCCAGGTAAAGCAGGCGGTGGCCTGACCATAGATGTCAGGGAGGACATAAACCTTAAAGAAATTACAATAAAAAACAAATCTAGAAGCAAATGGTATACAAGTAGCAAATCATAACCAAAAAAAAAAAATCAGTATATACCACTGGATCCTAAAACAAATGAAATTTGACTTAGACTTAGAATCCCTCATTCAAATAGGTCAAACATCAACTCTCTTCCTCGGGGACTTCAATACCCACCACCCCTCCGGGGTACCACAGATAAAATATCAAAACGGCAAACTCATCGACGACAGGATCGAACAAAAAAACTTATACTATTCAATGAAAACCAACCAACTATGTATGACAAAAACACCAAAGTATGACGGCTATGGACTTAACCATCTTTACCCCTGATCTAGCCCAAAGCACTCTGAGGAAAGTGCACAAGGAGCCACTCGACAGCGACCATTTTCCAATGCACTTTAAGATAGGAAACATAAACATCCAAACCCCAAATGGACAGCAACTTTCACAACAACAAGAATTACTGGGACAATTTCAAAACTCTTTGCAAACAGGTTAACCTCGAAAAAAAAGGCCCCGAAACATACTGCCAAAACTTAAAAGTATGCAAGTGAGAGCCATTTTAACAGATCAGTGGTAGTGAAGTAATGATCAATACCAATTTCTGAAATATGCAAACAATATACTTACTTAGACGATTGAGTATTCCGCTATCATAATCAGTAATTTGATTCATATTTGTCTAAAATGGCATAATTTAACTGGATTGAATATTCTTGTGCCCTGACATAATCACTTTAAATTGTCTTATATTTCATATATTTTAGAATTATTAACTTCATATTAAAGTATTACAAGTATAAGATGTATTTATTATATAAATATTTACATTTTCACCTCGTTTTGCCTTTTACTTCTCATGTTTCATAGGAGAATCGGGTGCTTATACGCAGGCATTGGCCTTATATATTTCTTTAACACAACATATTCAAATAACAACTTATAAGAGTTGAGCATTTGGAGATGAAGCGTACAGTTTGAAGTTCGTTCTTAAAGACCTAGAAGGGAGGAATCGTTACATGTAGATATAATGTTTTTGAAATTGAGAGTTTTAAGAGTTTAAGGATTGTATATCTGAATTGATATCCAAATACTACATACCGCCAGATATATAGTGATCCCTGGTTTATAAGAAGAGAGAGCGAGAGTGTTAGGCATAGGCAAGTCAATTGTTCACCCGATAATACACGGGAACACATGGTACAAGTCACTATTGTTTGACATAAATGGAAAATTGACTATTGGAAGGTTGAGGTCTCAACACACGACATATATATATATATATATATATATATATATATATATATATATATATATATATATATATATATATATACATACAAAAATGAGGTAAATGTTCACTCGGTGTACATGTAATATATAATAAAATAATAAAGTCCACGTTAGTCCATCATCATATACACACAAATTAGCGCACGGGTTTGAGCATAACAAACATGCATACACGTGTGTTATAGTACAGTATTATACTTCCCTTGAAAAATTACATTGAATCAAAACGTCTAAACTTATACAGCCATGTCAACAATGCAAATATATACTATAAAACGTCAAGGCCAGAGAATAACAGGCTCAATTATCCGGAACATATGCCATTGGGCGTAAATGGCAAAATAATGGTGAAAATTATATGAATGGATCGCTGAAAAAGAGTGATGACAGCAGATGTTCGAGAAAAGGGTAAGAATCTCCTGCACTATCGGAAGCACCCGCCACCTATACAATTTGCATAAAAAGTCTGTGTTTGTTGCCTTACGCCACAAGGCAGTCCTCCAGCCATGCTTGATCAAATGAGTGTTAATTTTAGTATGTAAGGGTCCATTAAAAAGCCTTTGTAGTGTTTGATGAAAAAATATACACAAACTATAAACTCGAAATGTTCCTCGTGTATTGTGTCATTTACTTCATTCCATTACTTTCGCACATTTTACTCATGATAATTCACACGCTAAAAGAGGCACTCTTTGGCAGTCCAATCAGTGAAGTGGTCACAAGACCGTGGAGCGTTGTCTCCCTCTACAAAGGCATGTGTCCTGTGTTTTAAAGAAGAAATCAATGCAAGATGAAAATGTTTTATCCAACAGGAAATATATCGTGGATAGTATGACTTCACTATACTTCAACAATGAAGTTGGATCCATGGTCGAATTTCACCTTCATTTGATCTTCCTTTGTAAGCTTGGGGGGTAGCGCCCTAGTGTGCCACACAAGCACCTGTCAAAGAAAGAGTGAATGAGTGAATGTGATTGTCGTTTTGAGCAGTATTGTATCAGGACAAATCATTGGAAGTGACACATCATGTAAAATAATCAGACCGTAAAATATACTCAGAAAATGGCTATTGGTAAAGTTGGGAGATTTCACGCCAAAGCGACTTTGAGTGAGTGAGTTTGTGAGGTGAGTGAGTGAGTGAGAGAGAACATGGCAATACATACCTTTGTACAGTTATCAGCCAGAGGCTCAAGATCATTCAAGGTTATATTGGTCTTCGAGATAATATCGGATTCCTGAGATCCTGGTCGTGTGTAATGGGAGAATTGAAGATCAGGATGTTCAAAGAACACATGAAGGTTCATAGCAAAACCTGCCATGTCTGTAGCGAATTTTCGAATTGGATCATAGCTCACCCGCCAACCAGTCACCTGTCGTGAGAGCAAATGCTTTAGAGAGGCATCAACGATGTGGTCCCAGACAGTGGAACATCATTTGTCCGGAACAGTGCAGACACCAGATTTTCAGACACCTTTCAAAAGGTTTTGCAAAGTACATTACTCCGTAACGATGATTCGCTAATCAAAGGTTGCTCAAATACCAGGAATGGCAATGGTATTTACACTGTAACATGACAATAAAACGTTGTTACTATTAATATTTAAACAAAATAATGTTTTCCATGTGTTTACTGGAACAATTAACTTTTTTTTACAAAATCTTCTCTATCCCAAACCCAAAGAATATAAAATACAATACCAGGATACCCCAAATACCAGGAATGGCTATGTTATTTATACTGTACAGTAACAGGAACAACTAGTGTGTACCTTGTTTTAATCATCTATGGCAAATTCCAAACCAAAAGAACATGAAATGATATTTCACTTATTCATGCCTGAATATACAATTAATGGTATTCGACCTTTCCATTCTTCACAATAGGCGCTGCATATCTTTGATCTCCAACAAGTCCAACGGGCCATACAGAAATCTTCCGAGTCCGTCGCATCTACATGAAACTGAGTGTTCATAATTTGTGAAACAAATCATGTTCAGTAATTTTAATTAAAGTTTAATTCCTGAGAGAAAGGAGATAGCGATTTAGGGGGTGAGTTTGGTATAACACCGCTTTGAACAGTGTTTCAGTTATATCACGGCGTATCAGCTTGATGTTGGGGGAACGTGCGAAGTGATGGAGGTCCTAACCGTTGACCATTTTGGTGAAACCCGCGAGCATGGTGCTGACAAATCAAGAAACATAATCTGGGCGAACCGGTATTCGAACCCACGATCATAGGCATCGTCAAAGGGACACCACAATGCTCTGCGAATTATGCTGACCACCCGTGCCATCCTGAGAGAGAGAAAACCTTAATCTACGCATGAATACTGTGAAGTAAGTGATGGTGCTGTATTGGCACACATAGACTTCTCAGACTTTGTTAAAGCAGCCTGAGTCAAGTTTGGTATGGTTTTGACAAACCTACGATCACAAACAGGGCGAATATGGGATTCGAACCAACGAAGAGTGGATCCTGGCAGATAAGGGAGGCTAATAGGGCTAAATATGTTATGTAAAAACTAAAGTCGTTTTAATTCTTAAATGAAACAACTACAGGGCACACTAAAACAGGATTTCGCCAATTATAACCATAGGTGTCCCAACATTCCTGGTATTTGTAATGAAAGATTTTACCTCGGCAAAAATTCGCAAGTCGTACGTGTTATCATCATCAGCAAAATATACAACACCAGGCTGAGTTTCCGGGTCCACGTTTTTCCGCAGCCAAGATATCCCGAGGTTTCTTTGTTCCACTCCTTTTGCTGATTTTCTCACGAGACCACCAATATTTAACTGGGAGTCTGAAGGTGTCAACACACACAAATGTGTGTATGACATACCACAGTTTCTTAACAAGTTGGCGACTAACCGAGATTTCTTCCTGGAATCTTCCACCACAATCCAGTGAAAACTGGACATGTGAAGAAACGTCTGAGATAGCCTTGTAAGTTCGGCCTTCTGTTGACTGCGTGCGTGTGTTGGTGTAATGGCATATATCACTGGAAGATCCTTCGAACTATTTCTCCGAGTTTCAAGATTCAGAGAAAGGTTTAGTATTCTCGCCTCTGCAAGTTTATATCTGTTTGAAATTTCTTTTATTTCATTGTCCTTAACTCTCAATTGTTCTCTGTAACTTCTGTAAGAGGCCAGAAGAGTTTCTTGCTTCTGTTTCAACAATACTTCCACTGTCTGTAATCGAGTTCTTGAATTTACTTTTGAAAACCACATCTCTATAAAGGAAAAGGATGACATGTCATGTGATAAACAATAAAATCCAGAAACAGTGCTCTACATCACTGGGAATATGTTATCACTTCATCTGTGAAAGGTAAATCAACTGAATATATATATACACCTGATGTACACCTGATGCCAGAATGACATTGAACTATGAAATACAGTATGACTGTTTATTATATTGGCCCGGTAACTTGTCTACCGATCGACACAGCTCAGCGATCATATGTTAAATAAACGTCTGGCTGTTTTGCTCTTGTGTGTAGGAATTACAAACATTAAACCCACCATAAGCCACTAGGTGTGAATAATAGCAACGGATGCCACTCGTTAATTTCGCTATTCTGCTTGACATCACACAGAGATCTAGATATTAGCCTATCTAATCTACCTTTAAATATATATTGACTGACAAGGTATATACTCGAGTGTGGATTTCTGTAATCAACATTGAATAACGATTGTGGTTCGCACACGCTTGCAAGGAATGAAGGAATAGCCAAGCTATATTTCTGACGAACAGATATAGTTTAACTTGTATGGTTGACAGTAATGAAGACAATGATGCCATGGATATATAAATGTAAACCGTCAACGCCAGAGGATAATCAGTCTTGAAACAGATTCCATCAGGCGTATATATAGATATAAATAGTGGTAAAAAATTGTATCCTGAGCCAAATTAAAAACTTCACATTTTTAAAAGTAATCCCATATATGATATACAACGGACAAATGTATCAGAGAAGGTAAGTTTTAATCATTAATGTCCAGAGAAGGATTTTAATTAACGGTTGTAACCATAACTGGTTCCAAGCACCTACGGTATTCGGTAATAACATCAATAGTTTAAATCATAAGTCCCAAGCACGAGAATCTGATGGCACACAAGTTCAGTAGCGTGTACGTCCACCATGTGCGTTGACAACTGCCACACAACGCCTCGGCACGGACCTTGTGATGCTTGTGAACATATGATTGGGAAGACGACGCCATTGTTGCTGCAAAATGGTGCGGTTGGTTCTGGAGAGTGCGCAGACTTCTGCCAAAAGCATACCAGACGTGTTCGATGGGATTGAGGTCGGGAGACCTTGACGGCCAGTCCATGACGTTGACTCCAGCATTCTGAAGGAAATTCCTTGTCAAAATTGCTGTGTGGGGTCTGGTATTGTCGTGTTGGAAGATCAAACCGGGTCCATGTGCTGCCATGAAAAGAAGAAGTTCTGGTGTCAGTACCTGGTCGCGGTAAGCAGCAGCGTTGAGGTTGCCACGGATGACAAGAAACCTGGAACGTGCATTGCCACGGAAAGCAACCGACACCATGACACTTCCGCCTCGAAATCTGTCAACTTCCTGTACACAACACTGGGCGTAACGTTCATGACGGCGCCTCCACACCCTCGCCCTACCATCAACAAATCGAAGATTAAATCGGGATTCATCACTGAAGACGACTTGATTCCAATTCCTCTGAGTCCATCGTAAGTGTCACTTTGCCCACAATTGACGTTGACGTCTGTGCAATTGAGTCAGAATCGGCCCGCAGTATGGCCGTCGTGCTTAAAGGTGAGCAGTTTACAGACGGTTTCGAACAGTTTGTGACTCAGTCTACCCCTAAACAGTTCATTTCTGGTTGATGTAGCCGTCAAAAATCGGTTACGGAGGTGACGTAAGACAGTCTGACGATCCTCTGCATGTGACGTCACACGTGGTCGACCTGGCCGAAGGCGATCAGCGGTGGTACCCGTTTGCTGTAGACGCGTCTGTAAATCATAAGCAGTCCGTCGACTACAACCCATCGTCCTTGCGACTTCAGCTACGGACGTTCCCGTCTGCAACATGCCGATGGCACGTTCACGTTGAACATTTGAAAGGCGTGGCATAACAAATGGCCGCAAAGACTTTTGTTTTCTTGTGTTTTTCTTTTTTTGTTAATGACTGTTAACAAGTATGGCTGAAAACACGTGTGGTATTATGGCCACGTGACCAGTTGCAAGTGAAAAACCCACTTTTGCCACTATAGTGCTGTGCACATGATTTTGATCGATTCACCTGCACAAAAACGGGTGTTATCTGAAGACAATGCGTGGCCATTGCCGTTTAAATACACAATAAGGGCCCACAATGATAACTGGTCACAATGTTCAAATTTTAGGATTGTGAAGTTTTTAACTTGGTTCAGTATATGAATGGATGGCTGAAAACACCGATGACACCATAACACACATTGGATGTGAAACAATTCGTATTACTAGCTTTAACTTCTTTGATAGGCATTTAATAGTTGGAGTACTAAGTAAGGATAAGAATTTATGGATGAACAACTTCTTTATTACAATTAAGAGCGACGTTTCGGTGTAGGTTCTAACACCGTTATCAAGCAAGTGATTTACAGAGTGTAGTAGGCAGGTATATATACAAGTAGGAGGCAATGTTTGTACAGTAGAGTAAATATTGTTATACGGGAGAAGAGAAGTTTGTTGTGTACACACAAGGGCAGTGATGACAATTAGAACCTACACCGAAACGTCGCTCTTAATTGTAATAAAGAAGTTGTTCATCCATTAATTCTTATCCTTACTTACTAGGTTTAGTTTCTATACTCTTGCTCGGAAGCTTCAAATAAGACGCTACAACATTATTACGATGCTCAAAATGAAATCGTTTGGAAATACAACCAAGTTTCATGTTGTAAATCTGCCATGTATTATTAAAAAGTATGACACTTACCGGAAAATATGATAAAACAAACAGAAACCAGTACAGAGGGAACCAGGAGGGAAAAACAAAGGTTTCCGGTCTTCGGGGGCATGTTGAACAGTCGTGATGACAAATCCTATTTGGCTATGCTAAAGTAAAGTGAAGCTGAGGCAGGCCACGGTAGGCGCAGTTTACACGCTCACAGCTGTGCGAGGCTTTCGTAAATTGATATTCTTATTAGAACGGTATTGATGTTTATTTCACCTGTTTGTTCATTAATTGATATAATACCTGAGCATTTTTAAATAATTGAAATAACATTCTGATGGACATATCAAAGGACCCTTCCGAAATCAACTATTTATTCCTCATTATTTTCGCGTTCTAAATGATAATTCAAATATCATATAACACAAAAACATGTAACACAAACGCATCCTCAGCAGGAAAGCATGATCTGATGGCAAAAAGTCTTTCATGCAGCAATAATGCAATCGATTATGTACACCAGGGTATAAAAGCGTACGTGTTGTAGGGATTCGGTATGCCATATCTATTTCAACATTCACTGTCAATATATATGCTCAAAGTGTATGAGGCAATTGTCAAAGTTGACATGTGGCCATACCGATGTAATGAACGTATTCCTTGTTCTGGTAGATATCCGTCCGTGTAGCTTGATGTGAGATCTTACGTAGCGACAAAGCGACCTCTTTTACATAGGGAGGTTCTCACAAGGAGACATACATCACAGGGGAGACATACATACAGGATATTTACAAAGTCAACTTCTCAGAAGTATCTGTGGAAATGCAACACTTGTCCTATTTTGATAACTGATCCTGACTTCAAGTCTAACTGTACTGCATAAAACGTTTAAAAGACCTGTCGTGTCGAACTGAAAACGTCACCTATGGCATTTAGTGTACCCTTTGTGGATTATGTTGGAGAGATCACAAGAGACCGGGGTGAACAGAAATGTTTCTAATTGTGACTACAAATAGTTCAGCTGCTTTATATTCTTAAACAATTAGGGGAGCTTCTGAACGCAGTTTTGTATTTTAAGGACGCATAAACACATATTTCCTTCGTGAGGGACAAGGGGGTATTTGTAGCCACCTTAGTAAACTATCTCACCAACTCCTAATGTAATCCATACAATTCCAAACAAAAGGATCCCTGATAAAATATGCTTACGAATGCCAAGAAACATCATCAACAGTTTGATCCACTGGTTAATATGATTTGATGTGATGCACAAATTACATCTGTTACCACCATCTTAGGGAAATCGATCGACAATATAATAAAATAATAATATGATAATAAAATGTTCTATCCTTGAAGTGCTGACAGGTGGCATGGATGTCCCAGTGAAGTGCTTGAGTGCTATTAGTAGCCTAGTGAAGCGCACCATGGGTGGTCCAGTGATATGCTTGAGTGCCATAGGTTGCCTTGTGAAGTGCTTGAGTGCCATAGGTTGCCTTGTGAAGTGCTTGAGTGCCATAGGTTGCCTTGTGAAGTGCTTGAGTGCCATAGGTTGCCTTGTGAAGTGCTTGAGTGCCATAGGTTGCCTTGTGAAGTGCTTGAGTGCCATAGGTTGCCTTGTGAAGTGCTTGAGTGCCATAGGTTGCCTTGTGAAGTGCTTGAGTGCCATAGGTTGCCTTGTGAAGTGCTTGAGTGCCATAGGTTGCCTTGTGTAGTGCTTGAGTGCCATAGGTTGCCTTGTGAAGTGCTTGAGTGCCATAGGTTTCCTTGTGAAGTGCTTGAGTGTCGTGGGTGGCCTGGACAAGTGCATGGGTGGCATGGCTGGTCCAGTGATGTGATTGGGTTGCATGGGTGCTGGTCCAGTGAAATACTTGGATGGCATGGTGGGCCAAAGGAAGTATTTGGGTGACATGGGTTGCCTAGAGAAGTGCGTACACTGTAACTACCATCAACCAGTGAGCACTTAGTAATTGTGGCTAGTCTTGTGCACAGCCACCAGAAGCTAAAGTGATGGCGTAAATGCTGCTGGGGTATCGTTCAGGAAGCATAAGCACCGTAAGTCCCCATGAGTCCCACTGAAGTAGCTTAGCTTATGTTGCTTAGCTTATAGCCCGTGTTTTAAACAGTTGTAAATAATTTGTTATGCCAAAATACGTTTGACAGATTTGTTGTTATATATAATTGTTGATTCATGATTTACTTATATATATCAACTCGTTCTCGTCGCTATATGGCTGAAATAATGCCGACGTTACATTTTAACTCACTCACTCATTATATATTTGGGTTAGTTTTACCACTAAATATTTAACTTTCATGCGACAATGCTGTTTTAAAGAAATATGAGCAAAGTTTCAAAGCGGAAGAAATGTTTAAATGAAACACAAGTGATGTTGTCTTGGTTTCTTTTATTCATATGTTTACATTTGTACACTTCGTGTGTATATATTTCACCATCTTCGCTTCTTTGATTGTATTTAAAACATATTGAAATCTATGCCATTCTAAATAACAAGCGGAGAAGGTATACCAAGTTGTGTAACTTGTCCCAAATCCAATTCACTTTTGTGAACAAACTAAGAAACTAAACCAGGTTAATATACTACTGATTGCATAAATGTATTAGTTGATTGCAGTGAAAAATAGTGGATTTGATGGATGCTCCCCGTATTTCGGCGTACACTGGTCCCTGCATTTCTGCGTAATTCTATTATCTCGTAAAATGCTTTTCTCCGGATTCTGGTCTCAAATTAAAAGACAAAGGACCAATATAGTTGTCCTGCTTAGATTTAAAACTCACCAAACAAATCTAAAACGAACAATATCATATCAATAAATTATGTGTTTGCGACATGTATTGATGCTCCTCTGAATAGCATCGACTCTGGGATAAAACCGATTACATCACAAACAAAGCTGAGTCTGTTGTGTTGGTATCACAATGTTGCCAGACAAGACAATCGCACATCCGTGATGCCTATTGTGTACCCACGACTGATTCAATAAACCTGTATCACAATGTTGCCAGACAAGACAATCGCACATCCGTGATGCCTATTGTGTAACCACGACTGATTCAATAAACCTGTCCCGGTTTTTCAAACCGTAGTACTGAATCAATCACACATATCAGATGACATGGCAACTGTTTTCGGTTCTCTATTTAGTCTCTACGTGTCTAATGAATGTTTTATAACGGACAGAATATGACTGTCCAAACAAGAAAAACGCTGGGAAATTTAATATTCACATTAGCAACAGCTTGATTAAAAACCAGTCATAATAAAAGGCTGTTCCATGATTCAAGAGTAGTCAGAACGCAATTCCCTGTCTCCCCTCCAGGTCCCGATAAAAATAGAAGGTACGTACATCTTTCACTAATATGTGGCTTTATATTGCTAAAGATCGCTCATAATGTTGATTCTGTTTTATGCATTCATATTCTGCCGTAAAAGGTAACTATGCTTGTCGTAAAAGGCGACTAACGGGATCGGGTGGTCAGGCTCAGTGACTTGGTTGATGCATGTCATCGGTCCCAAATGCGTGGATCGATGCTCATGATATCAATCACTGGATTGTCTGGTCCAGACTCGATTATTTACAGACCGCCGTCATATAGCTGGAATATTGCTGAGTGCGGCGTAAAACAACAAACAGACAAACATTCATATTCATATATCTCATATATTATTCTAAAGGTTTCAGGTACGTGTGCAGAGTTAATCATCGGAATTGTTATTTGTAACTGAAGGGGACATTAGGTTTATTATTCAACATCTTACATTTCTGACCTTAACACATGTGTCCACTGAGGGATATTAAGAAAAATCATATGTTCCAATATGTCATTGTGGTATATGTCAGTAGGTTGCATGTAAACATAATATTATAAAATATAAAAAAAAATTATAATATTCTTTATAATATTGTGGTTGTATCACTATAAAACAAATCTTAATATGACCTTCGTCACATGTATATATAAGCACACTATATTTAAACAAGTCCTCATGGAACAAATCGTAATATTACCATATCGAGGTTTATAAAAGTACACTATGTGTGAACATATAATATTATATCACACGACGAGGGATAGCAACCTTGTTGAGCAGAATCTACAAAAAAGTTGCCGAAATGACTCAACAAACATGTTACAATGTCTCACTTCTTCCCATAACCAAATATAACCAAAACCATATTTTTATAGAAGATTTCTAACATGAGGGGCCCAATTCGGACGGCTTCTATCACATGTAATTTTTAACATTATGTAACACTTGTAAGTATATCTATTATTGGACTTAGAAATTATTCGGACCCAGAATTTTATACAATTCACATAATATGAAACAAAAAGTCGATGTCTACCACATTTCCATATGAAACGGGATTTGGTGTACTTCAACCAGTATGTAAAATAACTTTACTAAATTTTCTGTCAAACTGTCTATAATTTCTCTGACTTTAAATCCCCATATTTCACTACCATATATAAGTATTGGTACAATATTACTGTCAAATATTTGAAATGAGTCCTTAATAGAAACATCATATATCCTAATTAGAGATTTTATGTGTATGAAGGATTTATTCGCTTGCTCGGAAAGTATATTACATGCATTTGTCCAGACTAATTTTGGCGTGGCCATTAGTTTGGTTTGGTTTGTTGTTTAACGCCGCATTCAGCAATATTCCAGCTATATGACGGCGATCTGTAAATAATTGAGTCTGGACCAGACAATCCAGTGATTAATATCATGAGCATCGATCCACGAAATTGGGATCAATGACATGCATCAACCAAGTCAGCGAGCCTGACCACTCGATCCCGTTAGTCGCCTTTTACGACAAGCATAGTCACCTTTTACGGCAAGCATGGGTTGCTGAAGACGTTCTCTACCCCGGAATCTTCACGGGTCATATAATTATATAGCAAATGTTAATATGACTGTAAACGGTATAACACGTCCCATTTTAATTCTGGAAACCCAAAAGTCCAGAAACTCTACGGTCTTTGCCCAGAATCGGTCAAAGTTATTTACAAAATTAAACATGCTGTTTTCATTGGAACATACCAAGGAAGAAAAAATGAAAAAAAAAATGTTTAAAAACTAAATATTTACACGATGTCGCCCATG